GTAGCGAGTTATTTGTGGTAAATATTTTGACACATATAACTTTGTGAAACTACCACATCAGTAGCATCCTATGTTTTATAATAAATCTCGTCGCGACATAGCATGTTGTGTTGATGTGATTAAATTGTTCAAGGTATTTGCCATTTTTAGCCTTCACAGATAAGCTTGACCATTCGCTAGCTACGTCTTGAGAGAAAATTAAAGAATTATTTGATTGATGTTTGCTTTAGTCCGCCTCAGCACAAAAATAAAATAACTATATCGCGGCGAGTATAATGAAATTAAAATGAATGTTAAAATTAACCATTCCTATTGATATTGGGTGTAATTAAACAGATATATCATGTTCCGGATTAGCGAAACATTTCCCTCCAGTACATGATGTATCCGTTCATTATACTGACTGTCATTTTTTAACAAACCTAGTTTAAAAATATTTTTAAACTATACAGTATTTGTGCTATAGCATGAACTGAAGAAAACATATCTTAAATTCTCAAAAGGCTTCACGCATACATTTTTATTGCATGCTGACGATAGAGGTTAAATTTTTACTTCTGATTGTCCTAATAGTTTTCTTCGTGATGATACCCTATGTCTTGTACATTGGTTGCTATAGACAGTGCCAAAAACAACATTGTTCTATAGATAATATTATATTATATTAATATTTTGTTATAACTAATATTGTTTTACATCAATAATTTTGTTGACACTACAATTGTATAACCGTCGCGGCTTTGGTGATGTGTACCATTGATTTCTATTAATTGGCATGTAGTCGTCGTTCAGTGGCGGATTTACCGGGGGGGCACAGGGGGCACGTGCCCCCCCAGTCGGGGTCACCAAAAATTTTTCTAGCATAGTTTTATTGCTTCTGTATCTGCTTATCTAGATCGCAAATCAAGACACAGCTTGATTTTACTTCCTAGACTGGTCGTTAATTGACCCCAGCTTCAACATGTGTGATTTATGACAACTTATCGATGGGTGTGTAAATATTGACACCTTTGTGTAATGTCTATATCCAAAGGCATTTATGTAAACTATATATATATATGTACATGTACATGCTGATTGGAATTAATACGAATATATTTATTGGTTTCTAATACAATATTACAGGATCAAGATCGATTAACAAGTGAAATCTTCTGATCAGAAAAGAAATTACCAACTAAAATCGGTCTTAAAAGAATATGTAAAAATAGATGTTTAGTGTCAAGAATGTTAGTATCGATATAAGATACGTCTTTTTTACCAAACACTCACATTGTATACTGTTTCTGGGGAATGTGCCTTTCTCAGAATAGTCTTTTTTGGACTTTATTAAACAACAAACGATTTTTTTCAATGCATACAGCATTTTTTTTAAACTGAATATCGTGTTTTTTTCACTTATTTTTTTTATGGAAACAAAACCTTCCACAAACATGAATGGTCTGTGCCTTATATATAATCATTAATAAAATGATATTGTAACTTAGAAAACCTACTTATATTTGAGATGAAGAACAGCAATAAAAGCTTACTATGTGTTTTTTTGCTGTGCATGTACTGATTTTGTGTCATGGATGGATACCCCATATCCTTTCTTTTTCTATTATAGTACAGTAATATGTGTATATTTTTCTTGTTTTAAATACCATGTATGAGGGTATGAATATGTTACCGTAAATGAGGGTATGAAGGGGGGTTTACAGATTAGAGAATAATTGTCAAAAAGTTAAGGCTAGAAAAAAATGGGCCCCAAAAATATAGAAAACAGATTAAAGCTGTGATGAACTGTAAAGAATAGAGGACAATTGGCAGCAAATAAAAGAGTAGAAAGAAATTGACCCAAAAATAATGAAAAGATATAAAAATGAAGACCCGACCCCCTACCCCACCCACAAAACGACCACCATCATCCCCAATACATGACACCAACACCACCCAAACTCGCACATATGCATATATAAAAAAATCTTTTAATTTTGGTTTCGTGGTGCCCCCCCAGACATCGAGGTTCTGGATCCGCCCCTGTCGTTTCTGACCATTTCAATTTAAAATCCTGCACATTAACTAAAATATTATATTGTCATTAAAAGTTGTGGTTTTGTATTCTATAAAAGAAACTACAGTTATTGTCCTTGGATAATACTCAATGTCTAACACATCTGTCAAACACACTCTAGTTAAGTAGTAATACTATAAATCACCTCCAACTGACCCTGTGTTGTCAATACAAGGGTTTTACATGTCAATACTAAATAAATACAATCCAAGTTCATGGCCATTCCTTATTTTTTTGATAGGATTTTTTTTTATTCCACCGCAAAAACAACAATATCGTAAAAATAATTTTACCTGGTTAAATCACGCATAATTGCTAAATGATGTTTCAAACAAGTTATTCGATAAAAACAAAGTAAATTATACCCTTTCTGACACAATCAAATTTAAACTGTTTTACAGCTTTTTATTATTACATCAATATTTGCAGCATATCTTATTTCAACCTATTTTATATCGGTTTTCTCTATATTTGATTCAGTAACATGATTGATCGAATAAATGTCAGTTGCTGCCGTTTATCATTTCCGCTGTTGTTATACAATTGGAATGAAATTCACAGATTTTTACAGCCCAGTCTCTTTAGAACTTTTGTCAGTGACGCCCTCCATTTTTTAAAGAAAAATTAGTGTAAAAATTTCTGTATGCTCACCACCCCCCCCCACACCCTTTCCCCCTTTTAAAAATTTGTATAAAGATTTCGTCTTCCAATGTTGAACACTTACAGTAAACTAAATAAAATGTGCTTATATGAAACTGCCAGACAACTTTTAACAAATTAACATGTTCTTCTTATCTACTAATGAAGTTTGAGTATCATGACTTTTTATCAGAATGCTACTTGTTTTTTTTTGGGTTTTTTTTTTAATCATCATGGTACAAGTGACATCACACTCCAATAAAGAAGAGTTAGAGGACGGGATTGTGGTTATGACAATTTGAACATATCAGCGGTCATCTGTGACACAGATATGGCATAACGGTCAACTAAATCATGTAAAACTATTGAAAGGATGACTTCAACTTAACAACTTAGAAATCTTTGTTCAAAAGCTCCCTTGAAAGCAGCAGACCTCTATTAAATAAAAAATGATAGGAGACGCAAGTTTTGGGATAGATGATTCGTTGGTTTTGCTCAATCTCCTAGAAAAACTCATCAATTAAACCAGGCTTATAATTTTGTACGCCTTACATGCAGTTCGTCTACAAAACAGTGACGCTCGAATAAAAAAAAGTTAAAAAGCCAATATATAGTACGAAGCATTGATGAAGTTTTATATGCAACCAAAATGTTACTACAGATTGAGAAAAAAAAATTGGAGAATCCATGCATGTACTAACTTTGTTTACTTTTCAATAGATAAAGAAAAACATTACACCACCCAGACTCCCCACCACATAAATAAATACGCCACAACAATCCAAAATATGCTACCAAAAGAAATGTTTCCAGACTGTCGGAATGCACATGCCACTTTAAGCATCTAGGAAAAATGCATTTATTGTAAACAGTATATAGGTCACTAAGTCTGTATTGTTGTGCATGTACCATCAGACGAAGTAATGATGACGATTTTTCAATCTTCTGATTACCAGATCATTAATGGTAGAAAAGAACATCTAACAATTCAGACATCACCTATTTATACACTAACCTTCGAAATACTTTCTATTTATATTCATGTAAAGCGTATTTCAAACGATTCATGCATTATTAAACTCGATTCAATGAACCTATATTTAGCTGAATTGATGGAATGCATTTCTTTTATATATAGAAACTTAAGTAAAAGTACAGTTTTGCTTAAGAATGTAACTGATACACGAAAATGAATGTTTTATGTTTACTTTTTAAATTTAATATAAATTCACGCAATAGTTGCTAGACAAATTAGCTCCATCGGGTGTACAGCTCGCCTGGCTATATCTATATAAGTTTTTACGAACTATAGGTTCACTGGTACTCTCAATATCTGTTCGATTTCATTAAAAAAAAATCGCGTCCATTTCGCTGTTTATTCCGTCGATAACCTATACAATCGTGTATAAAAAAAATATATAAGCAAAAAAAAATTCATTGAAGACAAGATTGTAGGTATTAAAAACAGTAGTTTATTGATTTAAACATAACTAGCTACAGTACGAAATCTGGACTGCCTATAAAGTTTGCGTAGACGTTTTCGGACAGGTCTTCATTCGATAGTAGGCATTCGTGTGGTCACTGACTGTGCACCACTCGATGAAAGTTTGTGTTTGCATTATGATTGGACAGAGTTACCGAAGGGATAGTGCAAAAAAAGTAGATGGTTCAGTGAATTAACTTCACCTTTGTACATTGTACCTATAAAAATTACTCGCTTGTGACAGGAAGATCAACAAGATACAACACATAAAACTAAAGACTGAATAACAAGAACAAAACCGGGGGTGATCTCGAGTGCTACGAACAGATCCTGCTCAATATGTGACAACCGTGACCATAACACGTTTTTCTAGTTGTAGTCAAAATGTCACGCCTTTCGTTCCGGTCTTCACACTTTGAAAAAACTTACTTCTTGGACATATTGTTAAATTTGTTCTCGTCCATAAGCATAAAATATTTAGTGAATCCAGTGGATCGTAACCAAACAACAATCAATTAACATCACATCGAATTTGTATAATACTTGATATTGCCAATTTCTTAATTTTCAGAGCAATACGGCGGTGCCTTCCGGGACACTTATATAACTCCAAAGTTCAAAACGCATCGTTGGTCTGGCGATAGTGTTAATGTACTGGGGTGGGTGGTCGAAGGTTCGGGTATTTTTTCTCATTTGTCCTTAAACACACAGTTCACGATCACTCCACATTGATTTGGGAACAATCTCCAAGTATTGTTTTACGTATAAAACTATCGCCAGGAAATATTTCAAAGGCATACTTCAAAATATGAATAAAAACAGTTTAAACAACAAATTTTATTTGTTTGCGATATTTTATGTATAAAAAATAACAAATTTTTCTACATAAATAAATATATATCAGTATAAATCTTTAAACAGGTTACACCGGGTGTAGTAAACTTTTTTGATTAACAAAGACATGTATGTACAACCGGATACCAAGTAAACACGGACAAAATAGACTTGATTGTTTAAATTATTCTGAAAAATCTTACTTTTGAAGCTGTATATATTGCTTCCGGATAAATATTATTGCATGTTATAGTTTTCATTTTCTATTTCTTTAAACCTCAGTTCTTTACCTCGTACATATTTGAATGAATTCATACACGTAGTAGATTTAAAAGAGGATTTATAAATTTTACATTCACTAGTAAAACTCTATGAATGCATATTGCTTTTGAATATACAACAGCAAAATAATAAGATAGGTAATGATTATATAATTAAAAGGGTCTTACTGTCGCTAAAACAATATTAAATTATCTACATTTTTAAGTTTCATATCAATAATAGAATGATATAGAACATCATGTGTTTTCGAGTCGGTTAGAGCCTTTTTCTAAAAATGAAGAATTCTGCCCCAACATTTCCCTTTAAAAATCTATTTACATTATTTTGCAATCATTTACCACACGGTAATAACAAAGTCATATAAACCAACAGCTTGTCGTCTTAACGAAATACGAAACTTTCAAGCTCCAGTTTATGACCGGATCAGATTTCCAAAATTGTATACCAACAATCAACAACAACAACAATAACAACAACAAATAAATAACAATGGATATCATAACAAAACAACATAACATTATTAGCATTCTAAAAACTACATAAATAAAAATATCATGATATGCGACAGAGAATTCATTTAAAGCAACCAGTCTCATATAAATTCCAAATGGTTTAGTAGTAATAACAATGTGATAATTCTAATAACTGTAACCTCTGTATACCCGACCTAATCAATATACACTGGGACCGATATATATATTAACAAATCATGTATTAGTCCCAGAAACAAATAATACAAAAATAAAAGTTCAATAGGTCAAAGTTGACTGCGTTTATCCTGTAACTGCCTATTTGCAGTTATGTGTGTGTGTAAAGTTTAAGCTGCCAAATTAAAAATGATTTTTTTTTCACGTGAATTTAATTCAAATCATGAAAAATACCAATTTTGTTTTGGGTAAAGTGCACGTGAAATATTTCACGTGAGATTACTGTGAATCTCAATCTCACGTATAAGCTCGTTCTAGGTAAATATCACGTGAGCAAAATGTGCCTGTGTAAAATGTGCAGTACAAGCTTATGCTTATATTGTTGTTTCTGGGGTCTTTCACATGATAAATAAGTGTTTTTAAAAGTGTATCATGACATTGTTAGTATTTTTGGTGTAATAATCAGTAATTCAAGAATCAACTAAGAGAGAAATAATCTGGATAAATTCAATGAAAGTTCATATGGATAGAAAACAAAAGTCACAGCATATCCATTTCTCTCCACGCATGTGAAAAAATGAGATAATTGACAGAGACCAAAACAAATAGAGACAACCAATAAGATATATTTAAAAAATGTCCAATACTAAGATCTATTGGACACTTGTTAATTGTTGTCAAGTTCAGCATGCAAAAGGGGCGATTCGTTCTATTTGATTAGTGTAATTCCAGATTTATCTAGACTTTTCCCAAATACTGAAAATAATTTTTCTCAGTATAAATCTAAACACGAAGATAATATGCCGATGTCAGAATATCTGAAGTCCAGTTACAAACAGACAAATTAGCATAGTTACAAACCATTCATATGTTCATTAAGATATTAAAGGAGGCAGGTATTCCAATGCAAACGGAATACATAAAGTTTGAAATAAGCTACATGTAACATGTGGATAAGTCCTAATTAGAGTAACTTGATTGTCTGGGTTTAAGGCACAAATTAACAGGCACTTTTGGTGTAGGAAACAGTAGCCGAGTTGTCTTAATTTCCTTTTCTCCATTCGGTAAAGAAACTTCAAAATTTTGTATAATCTATAAAGAAATAAAATATATTTTACTGTATCAAAGACATAATAAATTACTTTTATTCTATGTTGTGCGTACGAAAATAGGTTTGAAGACACAGTATATAATATCATACGATTCCTTTTAGATAATAGTATAACAAGTATTAAACTTCAATAATAAATTTTCTCCAAATATCTGCACGCATCTTCAATTCATTATAATAAATTGATAGATATTTATATAAAAAAAACATTTTTTTGACTGGTGCAGTCAATAGTTAATGGATTCAATTAAAGATATACAAAAAATCTTTTAAGATTTTGGAATCAAAAAAGAATCAAACAATTATAATAAAATAATTAAATTTTGGATGTAACACGTCTTCTGATTGGCTGAAAGTTTTTTTGTCTATCAGCCCATAGACATAATTTTGTCATGTGACCGTGACGCCATCAACGTCTTTTTCATGATTTACTCCTTAAAATGGAATTTAGAACTGAATTATAAGGAAAGACTTTAATATTTTTTCTGTCTATTCGAAATAACCTAAAAAATGTGGTGCACACTTTTAAATAACCCGCTACGCGGATTATTCAGTGTGCACCACATTTTTGATGTTATTTCTTCATAGACAAAAAAGTATTACAGTCATTCCTTAATTAAAATTATATTTAATACTATTCATCTATATAATATATGATAATTATTTTATAATATCAGTTAATAAATGTATACACAGTATTTTTCTTTGTAGTCAGTTAATTTTGAATTGTATTCATTCAATTTAAGTTTTCTTTTCCCCTGTATGATATTCGGATTGCAAGTACATTTGAGAATCTTGGAACACCGCTACAGTGAGAAAACCGTTGTTTACTATCGCAAGAGAATCTTGGAACACCGCTACAGTGAGAAAACCGTTGTTTACTATCGCAAGAGAATCTTAGAACACCGCTACAGTGAGAAAACCGTTGTTTACTATCGCAAGAGAATCTTGGAACACCGCTACAGTGAGAAAACCGTTGTTTACTATCGCAAGAGAATCTTGGAACACCGCTACAGTGAGAAAACCGTTGTTAACTATCGCAAGAGAATCTTGGAACACCGCTACAGTGAGAAAACCGTTGTTAACTATCGCAAGAGAATCTTGGAACACCGCTACACTGAGAAAACCGTTGTTTACTATCGCAAGAGAATCTTGGAACACCGCTACAGTGAGAAAACCGTTGTTTACTATCGCAAGAGAATCTTGGAACACCGCTACAGTGAGAAAACCGTTGTTTACTATCGCAAAAGAATCTTGGAACACCGCTACAGTGAGAAAACCGTTGTTTACTATCGCAAAGGAATTGATTTTGTATTGAAATCCAGGAAATATTTTCAAACTTTGCAATATTATGTAATATTTGCAAAATTTCCATTTTTGATACGATACGTAACCAGAACTTATCTTCACAGATTTTCATAATCAAGAGATGAATAATTAACGTCGTATACGGAGTAGCTTGATTTACTGATTTGTCTTTTTTATTGTTAAGACTTAGCAACTTACTTTAGCAACAGAGAGCATCATGGCTGGTTTTGCTACTCTTACTCCTGCACAGCTCCTTACTCCAAATCCGAAAGGTTTGACAATAACATTTGGAAAGTTTGTGTATCCCTTATCGATAACATCGGTATTGTCATCTCTCGTCCATCTTTCTGGAAGGAACTTCGTAGGTTGTGGGAAAAACCGTTCATCTAAACTCATCATTTTATGATTGATATTGATATTAGTCTACAAATCAAAAATGGATATTCTAACTTGAGAAAATTTATTTATCAACCAATAAATATATATATATTTTAATACTGTAAGCCATGGCTGAAAATAAATCAGCAACAACAACAACAGCAAAAATTAACAACAAATCCCGGGATCAACATGCAACGTTTGTGTTCTATAACATATGTTCATTTTAACTGAAATGTGCAGTTCAATTTATTATAAAGAATTTTATATCAGAAGAATTCCCCCCCCCCCCCCCAAAAAAAAAAAATACTAAAACCAAACAAAACAAAGAAACAAAATACAAAACAACAACAACAAAAAACAAAAACAAAAACAAAAAACAAAAACAACAACAAAAACCAACAAAAAATGTAACCTTTGTTTATTTTCAAATTTTTCATTTTTTTCTACTGATTGAATCTAAAAAAAAGACTGATAACGACATTTTCAGATAGGTTTTCTATATATTATAATTTTGAGATATCTGGAAACTTGTTATGTTCAAATCTAATAATAAGATTGATTTTCATAATGACGATGAACTGTTATTAAATTTGCTAAAAATAGCAGAATAATTTAACAAGCAAGGAATCGTTTATCTGGTTTTATTATACACTTGTTTATTGTACTTACCCCTTTTGGTATTCGGTATCCAGCAATGGTAACGTCTGACTCAGGTATCCTTAACATTCCAGTAAAAGGATATGTTATTCTAAAAGCAGTAAATTTTATTTCATATTTAATTACATTTGAGATTCAGAGTTGGTAAAACATTACATTCCAGCGCAAACAAGAATAGATCGAATATCCATTTAGATCACGAAGGCTATCCGAACAGTCTCTTTACAATCTTTAAGCATCAATACCAATTAGCACTTCGATTCCATACGAAAATATTAAGGTAAACAAAAAAATAAAGATGATAAAAAAAACACAAATGTAAATCCATAGATTAGATGACAATAACATGTATTAAGTTCTATTGCTGTAGAAAGCGAAAAAGCTGTAATTATTAGAATAAAGACAATCTCTGATATTGAGGTCATCTACGTCCGGTTTATATTACGTAATGCTACATGTATAGCGGTGCATAAACGCAGACCTGCAAAGCCTATTGAATTAAAGACAGATAAGGAGCAAACGTCAACAGTTTAACCCCATCATATAACACAACCAACAAGACCAGATGTTTATATCTTCATATTGTCGAATATATATAAATGCTGTTTGATGTTTGATTAAAACGTCTATGTCTTTTTCGTCTTTTTATGCCCCACCTACGATAGTAGAGGGGCACAATGTATTTCGGTCTGTGCGTCCGGTCGTTCGTCCGTCCGTTCGTCTTTCCCGCTTCAGGTTAAAGTTTTTGGTCAAGGTAGTTTTTGATGAAGTTGAAGTCCAATCAACTTGAAACTTAGTACACATATTCCCTATGATATGATCTTTCTAATTTTAATGCCAAATGAAAATGATAGTGCGAGTGGGACATCTGCGTACTTTGGACACATTCTTGTTTTTTCTATTGTAAAAAAACAAATTGAATAGTCTTTATTTCGGTCTGTGCGTCCGTTCGTTCGTTCGTCTGTTCGTATTTCCCGCTTCAGGTTAAAATTTTTGGAAAAGGTAGACTTTGATGAAGTTGAAGTCCAATCAACTTGACACTTAGTACACATGTTCCCTATGATATGATCTTTCTAATTTTAATGCCAAATTAGAGTTTTGACCCAAATTTCACGATCCACTGAACATGCGAGTGGGGCATCCGTGTACTATGGACACATTCTTGTTTCTTTCTTTTCTAGGGGGGTGCCGCCTGGTAATTAATTTATCTTTTAGAATCTTGATAAGTGATGTTCCTTATGCCATGAAAGCTATGGCACGGTTCCCTTTTTTTTTACTGAACTGCTTCACACCTAGTTAAACTACTGTATGGTGTGTATTGCTTAATCAAAATAATTTGTTGATTGGTGATTGATTGTTTGTTGTTTGCTTTCTAGTGGCACATGGTTCATGCATATTCGGTATTAATTAAATTGATACTCTATAAGAAGGCCGACAAGGATGAAAGACTGGTAATTAAGATTTCCTTGTGAAAGGATTTTTTTTTCGAATTTGACAGACATTTTGACTTCCAACATTCAACCTAAACAGTTTTTGTTATTGCCACAGTGGGTTCTTTTATTCTGCTTAATGTATTTCTTACACATCTTTAAGCCATTTACATGAGGATCACTATTTTCTTCTACAGGTCGGAAAAATTACGCCGATGATAAAATAGTTCCGGTCTTATGTGGCCTATATTTGATCCATATCTGATTACCTCTGAGATTCCTTTATACAAGACTGGAGATAAGACATCTTTTGTAGAGCGTCGATTCCTATCACTGACTTGTCACCAGCTATCTGAGTAATTTCTTCATACAGAGTCTCTTGTTTGTCAGGATTTAGGGCTAAATCACACAACACAAATGTAATTCCATTGCCTAGCTGAAATACATATGTAAAAGATATAAAAAAATTTGCAAAACCGACTTTAAATCGACTTTAAATCGATTTACTCCTTTAACATTTTTCCACAGTAACTATGTACATGTACCCTTATACACTACTGGAACCTGCTTAAGTAGGATATAGGAACAATAAATTCCGGTATATTTCTTGAAAATGTTCTAAAGTAGGGCTGACACACAATATCTTAAGCTTCAATATAAATAAAAACATGACTACTGCTCTTTTAATATGTGATTTTGCATTATATGTCAATATTAGGTGCATGTTGTTAAAATTATCAAAACTTTCCAGTTCACTCATGAAGTCACAATGCTGTGAATTTTAATCAAGATAGAAGGGAAATGGTTTTGGGAATAAATCCAGGGGAAAATGACGGTACCTTTTTGTGAAAATATGAATACCCTCGGTTTTTTAAACTATCATGACAAAAAAACTTGTCTAAGATACTAGTACTATTTAATATAATTGCTATTTTCTATATTTAATTTGGGTTTTAAATAACAGTTCTGCAAATCATATAATCATAATGTTTATATATCTATAGTTGCAGGAAACAATGGAAATTGTCACTCCATTTTCAAAACTGTAAATTTCGTTAAACCTGTTCAGTTGTCTCTTTGACGCATTCTCCGTTTCCATTTTCCATTTTATCATTTCTAATACATAAAAAAAACAACCACTGTTAATATTAGAAACTAAGTGAGTGATTAAAAGGTTAAGGTAGAAAGAAGATTTTTACAAAACTTACTCCCTCAACTGCTCCAGTGTGAAGGTCACTGATCAGTGTAACAATTTCCTCAGGAGGCAGTTTGCCGTCTGATAACATTGCATAAAGGAAATTATATTCATTTTGTAAGTAGTCCATTAAAGTTCCTTCATCTCTCATTGTATTAAGACGTAATATTTGTTCTTCCATATTTTTCTTTAAGAATCTTCAAAAGAAAAGACAATTCAAACATTTTTACATTTGTCATTTCGGGGCATTTTATAGCTTGCTGTGCGATATTGATTTTGCTAATTGTTGAAGGCCGTACGGTGACCTATAGTTGATAACCCTCTACGTCATTTAGTCTCTGGTGGAGAGTTGGCAATCATATCACATCTTCTTGTTTTTATAAGAGACTTGCATTTTTGTGTTATTTTATTAAAATGTATTATATACTTCGTAGAAATAATACATTATGAGTTTTGGAAAGGAATTCTAACCGTAAACACCGGACTCAACATTGTAACGTCGTTTATATTCTTTCTGGATTGTTTATTAAATGGTTAAACTTAATACCGACTAGAATCTTCATTTGATAGCCAGCAAATAGTCTGGTTATAAAATATATAACGTGGAACATAAAAATAAGTTTCTATCTTGAGTATTTTCAAAAGGAAAATTCTAGTAAGAAGATACAAGGACTATTCCAGGATTAAATTTACGTTTGATGCATTTATTTTTAGAGCCGCTTAAGCCAAATACGTTTGATGCATTCATAGTTCGAGCCCCTTAAGCTCTCGACTCACTCGATCAGGTTTCATTTGGAGTGCATACAATACCCTCGGGGTATTTTCTCTGTATATTTGATATTCAAAATTAATTTACGAGTTTTGAACAAAAGTAAACTGCTGAACATTGCATTTTATCTAAAATTAGGAATAAATATCAATTAAGGTGTATTTCTTTTTCAATACTCTTTACATTCTAATCGTTACTTATTATTAAAACAAAATATGGTAATAAAAATTAAATACAAAAAAAAACAACATTAGATCAACTTATAGGCAAATATACATCACTTAAAAGACAATTTTATTACTCTTAAATGTTATATGAACTTACTCTTGTAAATGCAGAAAGGTTTGCTCAAATTCTCTGTATGTTTTGGTTTTATAATACCGGTTTATGTCAAATGGCATTAGATATGCCGTTTGTAATGTCTTCAAAATTGTGTTTAATAAATTTAACATTTCATCCTGTGAACTGTCATTTAAACAACCATATCTTTTGTTAAATGATGCTATACCAACGCCTACAAAATATAAAAAAACCCACTTTATTTATCTTTTCAGTGAGGGGCATAAGGAGGAGCTGCGAATACCATAAAAATCGAATAAATCGAATGTACAATACAAGGCACACTCACATATTACCATAAATCTACAAGGATTTGAAAATTGAAGAGCCAAAAGAAAAGAACCCACTTGAGGTGAATGAAAAAAGTCAAGCGAACGTGAGATGGTTGACACATTGTAGCTCAAAAGAAATTACAAAGTTTATATGGTTAAAATGAAAAACAAACATAGACTTTGATACGATATTCAAAAAGAAAAGGGATTCACGTACAATAAAATAGAAGTTGAAACATTTGATCTCTTAAAGCACGGAAATTGTTAAAAATGCACATCCATGTCTTTATACATGTACTGCGATTACTCTTAGATCGCTCTTTTCTGTTTCTTGTCATTTTGTTAGTTGTACAGAACTAGTGAGGTCATTCTCAACTGCTTTTTACAATCCGGTGGTTGTCGTTGGTTGCCGTCTGACATGATATTGATTTCGTTAAATGGTTCTAGTTGAAATAAGGCCGTTAGTTTTCTCATTTGTATTGTTTCACATTTTATTATCTCGGGGCCTTTGATAGCTCACCTTACGTATTTTTAAAGATCGTATGGTGACATGTAGATTTTTTTTTTCTATTGAGTTGTTGGGTTACTGTTCTTTGCGGTAGACCACGCGTTTCTTTTTTATTGAACGACGAAGACAGGGGTTTGAAAAAAATGCAAAAAGAAGGGAAATCCCAAATCAAAGTCCACTGTAATTTAGAAGAATCAATATGCAAGTCAGTCTCTTCAGTCTGGTACCTTTGATGACCTTTGATCCCCAACATATATTTATATTTTAGACAACATAGGTTGATAAAGAGTAATGCGTATATTTAAAAACAAATCAGATGATTCTTGTGAAACGTATGCTAGTAGTTTAAAACGTGCTATCGATAACCCAAAGTTAGGTAGAAACACCAGAAAGGAAACGACGGCACTATACATTTTGTAATACCATTATATCAACAGAAACGTGTGTTTTGTGCTCATAAAAGGGTGTTCGCATTTCTGAGCTTTATATTTCAATAATAATGCTTTATAACGCACGACTTAAGCTGAAACAAAACTCACATTCATATGCGTATTTCGAAATTTCCCGCACGGCATCATTCATCTGGAGTTCTTTTTTCATTTTTTCTAAGAAATCATTAGCAACTCTTTCAATTAGTGGAGTGAAATTCGCCATTGCTTTCGGTTTCAATAGATGTTCGTTTGATGGCATCCTAAGCTTAGCCCAGTCTTTACCACTTCTGGAAAAAAATATTACGATTTTGATATAAACACCAAAAAACCAAACAGACAAGTCTGATATAACAGCAAAAGAATTAACAACACATTCACAAATTTCAAATGAAAATATTGCAAACGCGGGACAAAATTATCGACGTCATTAAGCTTCATAAAATTGATAATTGATTCTTTATCAAGTAATGCGACTTTGCAAAACTTTACCTAAACAAGGAAGAATGCTTTTCTTTACTTTTTCAGAAACTTCATTGAATTATTTTAATATAAAAAAAAATTGGAGATGTTATATGATATTGCCAATGAGACAAATATCCACCAGAGCCAAAATAGCGTGTATAGATATAGGTGGTCGAGTGGTCTAGCGCGTCGGGCATAGTGCAAGGCGATTTGGTGCCACGATATCTCAGTAGCATGAGATATCTCAGTAGCATCTCCCTGAATCCCGGCCAGGGAAGAACAAAGATCTAACATTGCTGGGCTGTTATTTAGACGACTTAGATATAAATATATATAGACAACTATAGTTCACATTACGGCCTTCAACATTGAGCTATGATTTTTTTTTTTTTTGCATTTCTTTTTGCATTTTGTGTTAAAAAAAAATTATGGCTGTAAGCGTCATCTTCCATACCGTTAAAGGGGTTCACTAATTTCGCAGTATCCAAATGATTGCCCGCGGCTGCTATTAGATTTTTACAGGATTTTTGTTTATTGATTTTACTCATTATATTCTATTTTTAGTGACAGGGTAATCATATTGTTTTATACTCAGTAAATAAGAAGGTATAAATACAATAAGAATGATTGTGGCTAAATTTGGTTCAAATTGATCCAGTGGTTGTATGGAACAAGGGTTTTACTAAAAATAAAATAACATCTTACCTCATACTTAAGGCACGTGGTATGTCATTGTATTTATAGAAAGCTTCTATCATACCAGGGAAGTGTCGATGATTCTCTTTATATGGCAGCTTGTAGATTTGGTCTGCAATATCTGGATGGCATACATGTAATACATGCTTGTTACCAGCTCGTACTTTGAAAATGTCGCCATATTTCTCGCGAAAAGATGTCATAACCTCGACAAAATCATCCAATATTTCGTATTTCGCTGTAATAAAGTAACAAACCTCCCTATCAATGGTACTGTTTTATTATATGTGTCAGTTCATTTAAAAAACAACCATACAAAATTTATATTTGATGAAATTTATTACTCATGTTACACCACTCTCCCATGTTAGGGGAGGGTTGCCGCAGCCCCAAACTATGTTTAACCCCGCCACATCTGTTTGTGCCTGTGTCCTTGTCATTTGTTGCTGTATATCATATTTGATTTTCGTTTATTGTATGATACATAAATCAGGCTCTTAGTTTTCTTGTTTTATTTTTTTTTCCATTTGTCATTTCTGGGCCTTTTATAGCTTGCCATATGTTATGCATTTTGCTCATTGTTGAAGGCCATACGATGATCTATAGTTGCTAATCTTCTTTGTCATTGTGGTCTCTGGTGGAGAGTTGTCTCATTGGCAATCATACCACAATTCTTACTCTTAAATATGTTGAGATAAAACGCTAGGGTTTTTTTCGTCATGTACATACTAAGTCTTAAGTATGTTATAGATAAAACCTTTTTCTTGCAAAATTTTGTCTTCTTTAAATCGTGAATTATTAAATAAATAATGACTTAATCTAAAAAAAAAATGATTGATTGGATTTAAAAACAAACTCTGATGTATATGGTGTATCTGCAAATTGAACATGGTAAAACAAAGTAAAGTACATTTTCAAACTTACTGAATGGTTTAAAATGCAAAGCCATTCCTAAATATGGTATATCATGGATACCAGTTGGCCCTGGAAGTTCACTGAAACTTTTAACATTGCCATCCGTTTGTGGGAAAGCAGTGGTTGAAGCAATAGTAGATGACCTTCTAAGTGGGGACCGGAAGTGAGATTGTAAGGGTACGATTATCTTCTGCACAGATTTCATACTAAAATACAGAAATGTAAACAAATAAAAATGTTTTTCGCTAGAAAAAAAAGAACATAAAAACGACGTCAACATTTTACTGACAAAATAATAATCTTCTTTATTTCTTAATAATACCAACTAGGGCACAAGGACCTGGTTTTAGAAAGTACCCAAGAAGTGTCGTATGACAAATTTTAAGATTATCACAGGACCATCCTATGATACGTCTTAGACTGTAAATCAAAACTGTCTTAAGATAGTCCTAATCAGGATGGTTTTAAGAAAATCAAGTTATATTTACCTTATAATTAAAGGCATTATTTTGTCTTCTACATTGAAATAATATATCTTACTTAGTAACACTATGGTTATTATAATAAGAATAATAACACATATTTTTTGTAAGGTGTTTATTGGCAAAAATACATGTATGAATATTATATCTTATAATTATGGTAATTAGTCCATAGTAACATCGGCCAAATCAAGACAAATACAATAATAATTTATATGATTATTCAAACGATAACAAAATTATTTTAAAAAGTAGACGAAATGAATACATAAAAGTTACCTACCATCATTAGTTGTTAAAACGAAGTTTTGTGGTTTGGAATTAATTATATAATATAATATTTGAAATCTTTTGTTGTAATTTAATACGATTGGGTAAAGATTTATTTTAGATTTTATTTTATTTTATTCGAAAACACTCAGACACATTTAAACCTGAAACATGAAGTATATAATACAATATATGTAATAACATGAAAGAAGAACAAATAAAAATATTAAAGTCAATACACCTAGTTCTAAACATCAACCATGAGTGTGAAAAATTATGCAAATTGTCGCACAACATATATGGATCTATATGACTCAAATCAAAGAAATACATGAACTTTTCTGATGAACAAGGATTTGAATAGTTCAGTATTCCAATAAAATAGTTAACCTTAAAACTTGAGAATGTTCAGGTAAGATCTGTAGTAACTAGGTATGCTTTTATTTCTTAATGATACAATGTTTTCATTTTTCTATATATAAACAAAACATGGAATTCATCTCCAATACCATTTCTACATAAGTTACATGTTCTATCCTCCCTTGGCAGTTTGGTTAATCACGTTCGATCAAACTCGCTAAGACTCAATAAATAATTTTCCATACAAAAATGTTATTTGAATATATAATAAAAGAGGACATAGGAAGAACTTGTATATCACTAAACCATTTTATATAGACTGGTCACATAGTCATTGAGAAAAGTTATGTTAAAATGTTATCGAGGCTCTCGGGATTTTGAAAATTAGGGTACAAATTTTGCACGTCGTATATATATATATATAATAATATAGCGGATGTGGTCGTGTGGTCTAGAGCGCTGGACATGAGGCTAAGCGATTGGTGCTGTAGTGTATCAAAGGTGTGAGTTCGAATCCCGTTGAGGGACAAAAATTTGTCAGCATAAAAGTCTAATTCTAACACTGTTGGGTGTAATTTTCAGACTTATATATATATATATATATATATATATATATGCATATATGTATCTTTTAAAGATATATATATATATATGCATATATATATATGCATATATGTATCTTTTAAAGATATATATATATATATATATATGCATATATGTATCTTTTAATAATCAATTATTCTATGTACTCGTTTCGAGGTCAATGAGACAAGTGAAAAACTCTTCATCACATGTGCATATACGTAACATTAAATTTGAACCTTAAAATTAATGCATCATCAGTGAAAGACATGTACACGTTACACGATACTTTCGTGGAAATAGATTAACGGACAATGTACAATTCATATGTTACTGTTGACAGTATTAAAATTCTTATTTTCAATACATTGTGTAGTCAAATAACACATTTACAGTCAATTTCCTAATGCATGCAGAGTAAGAGTTTGGTTGGCTTGCTTGTCTTGCTTGCTTTGTTTGTATTAATGTTGGCTCAAGCATTGTAATTAAGATTGACATCTGCAAACAATATAAGTAGGCGGAGTTAAACCTGTATATAGGTAAATTTGATTATTTGATAGTGTCCAATCAAATTTAAGTATAAAGTATACAAGTTTAACTCTGCCTTTATATATTGTTTTCAGATGTCAGTCTTAATTACAATGCTTGAGAAAACATTAATACAAACAAAGGAAGCAAGCCAACCAAACCTTTAACTTGCTAGCATTATGATAACAGCTGTAAAGCACGAAAAAGCTGAGAGTAGTAAAATAGATGTGTTATCGATACAATTTTAGAGGAAAAACATTTCCGACTATCCTAAGACCATATTAAGATAAGTTCTTTTCGATATTAACTTTACAATTAATTTTAGGATTTAACGTAACTTGACTCTTTCAAAAATATCACATAGGACTAAGGGCTCAGGTTTGCGAAAGTATCTCAGGACTAAGACATGCCTTAAATTGCTCTTGGACATATGTTAGTCACCAGTGATAGATATAAAAATAAGTAGATGTGGTATAATTGCCAATGAGACAACTTTAAACCAGAGACCGAATGACGTATAAAAAAGTAAAATAACAAAAATACTGAACTCCAAGGAAATTTCAAAACGGAAAACCCCTTATGTAGAAATTAACAACTATAGTTCACCGTACGGCCTTCAACAATGAGCAAAACCCATACGGCACAGTGAGCTATAAAAGGCACCGAAATTACAAATGTAAAACAATTCAAATGAGAAAACTAACAGCCTGATTTATGTAAAAAAACAATAAAGATGTCTGCCTATGAAATAGCGATTTAAACAGCGCAATTGAATGGACAGTTTCAAATAAATCTTCTGTCGTAGTGAACAAAACGAATCTCAAAAATTAAAAAAAATAATTCTGAAACACAAAATGCTTGACTTCAATATATCTCGATACTCCCAGCAGGATTTAACACTGTTCCACTTGTAAAGGTTTGTATGTTCTCAAAATAAATTACATGTAGGGTGTACATGTACTTATGTGACTGAATTTATTTAAAAGTTTAAGATAAACATGTTATGAAGATTTATTTAACAGAACATTCGATAAAAAGAGCTGAAGTAGAGCATGCAATAATGGATTAAGTTGCATATACAATTATATACATGTATCACGCCATACATTTTTTTAACCGTAAGAGACTTAGTAGGTTTTAAACATTTCTTTTGTAGTCGTAAAAAACTGCGACAAAAGACTTCAAATAAGATATTATCTTTACTTATATTGAAATTATCTTACTATACAACAGTTTTCAATTGATCAATCATTACACATATATTGCCCTATTTTTTCATTCCCGACCTTTGTATTTTACTATCATTATTCTCAATATATAAATCACTTTTATGACAATCTTGATAGTTCAAATAAATTGAATTTATTACCCTAATTTTTATTAGAAAAGAGGGAAGATCACATTTACGGTACCAATTTTATGCAATTGCATACAACATAAATATAAGACCATCATTGGTAAGTCTTTCTTAGGACAGCTTTGGATTGCAGCGATCTATGACATAACTTAGGGTAGCCATAAGATAATTGTAAAGTCTGTCATAAGATAAGTTTTAGGACATGTCTTGGGATATTTCGAAATCCAAGAGAACCGTAAAACGGACAATATGATATTCATAAAAAAATATTAAAGCCTTCATGACTTTCAATGTCTTTCTATCAATTCCAGATGACCTATCCATTCGGGGTCTTTCAATGTTTCCATTCGACATCTGAAATTTTCGTTAAAAAATATCCTACAGGACACGCAACAGGATACTGATAAAAAAATAACTGCATTAAGAAAATATTCTGTGATACTATTTTACTGCATTTTATTTAGAAATAGGAGGCGTACATATGAAGGTATTTCCGAATTCCATGTTGAATACCACGTACATTTATCATTGTATCAATCGTACTTAATAGTTTATTTCAATTTATAAATACAATTTAAAAAATTCATCTTATTCCATGATTGAAAGGTGTTTGCTTTACGCCACCTCGGCACAATAGGGCTATATTGCGGAGATCTTCTTGATACATAATATGGAGTCAAGCATATGCATACATGTTTGAAGTTATTTGAAATAATAAACAAACGATAGTTATAAATAAAAAACAGACACTGATGGTTATTTCCAAAGCAAAGAAAAAGTTGAACAATTTTCGTCACTATAATGATTTTTCAAATTATGAATTAAACAAAAAATAATAAACAAAATAGTAAGAATTTTTGAGGTTTCTGTATTTTTATTCAAAATAGAGTGCATACATAATGAGATAAAACTGTTAACAATGTTCATAAATAATATGTTTTTTTTTTTGTTTGTTTGAGTATATGATGTTAGTATGTAGAGAATAGCTGAATATAAATGGTTTAAAGACTAAAATAGAAGCAGGTGTGTTAATTTTACAAATATGCTCTCATCTTTCTTCTTTTGTAAAGAGTAATTAACTAATTTCTGTCTTTGTCTAGACAGATAAAACAATAAAGTTATCTCGTCTGCAAGTTCGTAAAATATCATGGGAAATCAATTCATCAGACACTATATACCATGTTTTAAAAAGAATTACTGATCAAAGGTATTTTAAAGATATTAATTTGAACATTTAGTTTTAATAACAATGTCTTCCTGTAACATTTCACAATCAAACCTCCATATGCCATTAATTGCAGAGTAAATACAAAATTAAATTTTGAATTCTTACTTTTAACAAAAACAAAACCTCATTAAAAAAAAAAAACAAACCAAAATACATAGTAAGGATTTTTGTTGTAGCTTATACTTGACTGAAATCATAGTATCATGACTATAAATAAAGCAGAACACCTTATTAGGTACTAACACATTTAAGTTATACAATACTTCTATTCACAACAAATTCATTTAAAATACAAGTTGCATTTAAATATTTCTCTGGTTTAAAATTCAAATTTTAAGTTAAACCCTATCAAAAGAATACAAAAAATGGGGAAATGCATATTACACCATGCAAGACTAG